GTGGAGGGGGGGAGTGGGGGGCGCTCTGCTTTCCAAGGGCTGAAATCCGCTGCGGCCCGCGGAGCGCTGACTCAGCTGCAGCGTGACTCGAGATCGCCTTGTGCGTGTCAAGAGGAAAAGGTCACATCCTCGCTGCCCGGCTGGAATGACAGGCGAGGCGTCAGCTCCGCTCGCAGGCGTTCCGGGGCAGGGGTGCCCCAGGCAGGCGGCCGGGAGGTCAAGGGACTCCTCCTTATGGCTCAGAGGCACCGGCTGGAAGGGCAGGTCCCAATATCCCCTTCCCAAAACGCAAGAGCGCCCTCCAGCAGCGCGCAAGAGAGCTGGGCACTGGGCACCTGCCAGGCACTTCGGTTTGGGGGCGATGGAGCAGGGGATAAAAGTTTTATGCGAAGCTGTTTCTCCCTCCCCCCACCCCCTTGGATTGGACCCAACCAGGCTTGAAACTCAAACCAGGTGTTGGGAGGGGAACTACATTACAAATGGCAAAGCACTTCGAGCTGTGCAGATGGAAGAGCTAGGGAAGGGCTAGTGCTGATCGCTATCAGTAAATAATTCCGTGCACATCGCTAGCTTCTTCCATTCAGGAATCTCAAAGGCTGGAGCCATCTGTAACTAGTAGAGTATACCTCTATCTCCATCTCTCTATGTATCCTAGGACCTGGGTTCCTCCTCTAACTTATAAGGTTCTACCTTTGTTATTGTATTACAGTAGTGTCTAACATTCAGGCTATTCCCAGCTCTGCCACTGCTTTCCCTGAGTGACCTGGGGCAAATCACTTTGCTGCCCTGTTCCTCAGTTTCCCCATTGTAAAATAGGAATAATAATGCCATTGTCCTCCTTTGTAAAGTGCTCTGAGATCCATGGATGAAAAGTGCTACAAAACAGCTAGGTATTCTCATTACGGTGTGAGATATAGCTCATACATAAGGCAAGAGACAGTCCCAAAGAGCTTACATAGGCAAAGGTTGTGCCTACACCGATAACTGAGGGACTACACTTTTATTGCTCAGAAGTGCTAACCACAACTCCAAGAAAAGTTTGCCACTAGAGGTATCAGGTACCTTTGACATTGTCAGCAGGAGCGCTCTCCTCTCAACAACACGCTGCTCGTTGGGAGGTAGAAGTATTTTGTCAGCAAGGGCATGTCTTTCCATCTTATTTTAAAATAAGCTATTTCGGAAGAAATACTCTGAAATAGTTTTCTTGAAATAGCACATCTACAGTACAGGGAAGCCTCAAAATTAGTCCAAGGCAGGCTCCCCTAACGTGGGCACACTACCTCAATGTAGAGCCCCAGAAGGCACTGGGGAGTCATTACTCTGAATGGCCCTGCGGAAGAGCTATTTCGAAATAGCAGCAGTGGAGTGTCCACACTACTGCTATTCCGGAATAGGCATTATTCCTCATGGAACGAGACTCACAGAAGTCACAATAAGCTGTCCGTTATTTTGAATTTATTTCAAAATAAGGGAATTGCTGTGTAGACACTCACATTATTTCGGAATAATGCTGCTACGTAGATGCACCCCAAGAGTGTCACAACCAGCAGCTACGTTGCCCAACTTGTTGCAACATGGCCGTGTCGCTAAAAGCTGTGTAGCTCAAAGCCAGCGGGCAGGAGAACAGAAGTGCCATTACCATCATTGTACAGAGAGGGGACGGCCGGGCGGAGAGATAAAGTGACTTTCACAAACTCACACAAGGAGTCTGGAGCAAAGACAAAAGGACTAAGCTCAGATCACCCAAATCCTTAACCATATTCTCATCCATATGTCAGAATGGTGTGACACACTACGTACTACCCTCACTGTGTGCACACACATTCGTGCCAGCCAAAGGCCTGGGACACTGATTTTAAACCCAGTGTGCAGAGCCCGCAATGATGACTGCTTAAGGTGAAGGATCATTCCAGTTAATGGGCAATTGGAGTCTGAGGAACTAAGGCCAGATTACATGCTTAATGGTGCCTTCTAGCCTTCAAAATCTATTAAGCCAGTGTTTCCTGATTTTATTTGGCCACGGAACCCTTTTCAGCTTAAAATAATTTCAAGGAACCCCTAGGGTTCCCAGAGAAAAATTTGGCAAGCAAAAAACAAAAAAAAGAGCCCCGCCAGAATTGGTTGAGCAAAACAACCCGTGCAAAATACTCTGTCTCTTTAAGAGGGGGCGGGGCAATGCCACGTTCTCGCGGAACCCTTACTTCTGCTTTGCGGAACCCTGGGGTTCCACGGAGCACCAATTGGGAAACACTGTATTAAGCTATTACAAATCCCTGCAAGCTGCATGGAAACTTTTCAAAGATACCATAATAGAGGCCCAACTTACATGTATAACTCAAATTAAAAAATACAGTAAGAGAACCAAAAAAGTGCCACTATGACATAGCAACCAAGGAAAAGAAGCAGAGAGAGATAAAAAGGCATCTTTTAAAAAGCAGAAGTCAAATCCTAGTGAGGAAAAAAGAAAGGAGCATAAACTCTGTCAAATTAAGTGTAAAACTATAAGAAAAGCCAAAAAGGAGTTTGAAGAACAGCTAGCCAAAAACTCAGAAAACCATTTTGCAATTACTTTTTAAGTACATCAGAAACAGGAAGCCAGCTAAACAACCAGTAGAGCCTTTGGATGACCAACACGCCAAAGGAGCACTCAAAGACGATAAAGTAATTGCAGAGAAACTAAATGAATTCTTTGCTTCAGTGTTCATAGCTGAGGATAATGGGGAGATTTCCAAACCTGAACCATTCTCAAATAGATAAACTTAACAGTAACAAATCACCAGGACCAAATGGCATTCAACCTAAGAGTTCTGAAAGAACTCAAATGTGAAATTGCAGAACTATTAACTGTGGTTTGTAACCTATCCTTTAAATCAGCTTCCTTACCTAATGACAGGAAGATAGCTAATGTGACGCCAATATTTAAAAAGGGCTCTAGAAGCCGTCCTGGCAATTACAGACCGGTAAGTCTAATGTCAGTACCAGGCAAATTAGTTGAAACAATAGTAAAGAATAAAATTGTCAGACACATGAATTAACATTATTCGTTGGGTGAAAGTCAACATGGTTTCTGTAAAGGGAAATCATGCCTTACTAATTTACTAGAGTTTTTTGAGGGGATCAACAAACATGTGGACAAGGGGAATCCAGTGGATATAGTGTACTTAAATTTCTAGAAAGCCTTTGACAAAATCCCTCACCAAAGGCTCTTACTTTACTTAAGTTGTCATGGAATAAGAGGGAAGGTCCTGTCATGGATTGAGAACTGGTTAAAAGACAGGAAACAAAGGGTAGAAATAAATGGTAAATTTTCAGAATGGGGAGGGGTAACTAGTGGTGTCCCCCAAGGGTCTGTCCTGGGACCAATCGTATTCAGCTTATTTATAAATGATCTGGAGAAAGGGGTAAACAGTGAGGTGGCAACATTTGCAGATGATACCAAACTGCTCAAGATAGTTAAGACCAAAGCAGACTGTGAAGAGCTTCAAAAAGATCTCACCAAACTAAATGATTGGACAACAAAATGGTAAATGAAATTTAACGTTGATAAATGTCAAGTAACATTGAAAAAAATAATCCCAACTATACATACAATATGACAGGGACTAATTTAGCTACAACTCCTCAGTAGAGAGCTCTTGGGAGTCATGGTGGATAGTTCTCTGAAAACATCCACTCAGTGTACAGTGGCAGTCAAAAAAGCAAATAGAATGTTAGGAATCATTAGAAAAAGGGGATAGAGAATAAGACAGAGAATATACTGCCTCTATATAAAACCACGGCATGCCCACATCTTGAATACTGCGTACAGATGTGATTGCCTCATCTCAAAAAAGATATATTGGCATTGGAAAAGGTTCAGAGAAGGGTAACAAAAATGATTAGGGGGTTTGAAATGGGTCCTATATGAAGAGGGATTAAAAAGACTGGGACTTTTCAGCTTAGAAAAGAGGAGACTGAGGGGGGGATATGATAGAGGTCTATAAAATCAAGACTGGAGTGGAAAAAGTGAATAAGGAAAAGTTATTTACTTGTTCCCATAATGTAAGAACTAAGGGTCACCAAATGAAATTAATAGGTAGCAGGTTTAAAACAAACAAAAGGAAGTTTTTTTCACTCCGCGCACAAACTGTGGAACTCCTTGCCAGAGGATGTTGTGAAGACTAGAACTTTAACAGGGTTCAAAAAAGAGCTAGATAGATTCATGGAGGTTAGGTCCATCAATAGCTATTAGCCAGGATGGGCAGGAATGGTGTCCCTAGCCTCTGTTTGTCTGGAAATCGATGACAGGACAGGGATCACGTGAGGATCAGCTGTTCTGTTCACTCCCTCTGGGGCATCTGGCATTGGTCACTGTCGGCAGACAGGATACGGGGCTAGATGGACCGTTGGTTGGACCCAGTACGGCCATTCTTATGTACATGATTTGAGGCTTGGGGCAGCTGTGGGTCTTGGTCTCATGCTGCCTCTCTGTATTTGCTCCTTTGGTGGGAGATTTCAATCTCTTGGTGGGAGGCCTGCAAACAAGAATGTGGATTCCATTAATAGATCCCATTCCCAGCTGTCATTTTGCTGCTTCCTAGCCATCTGCTCCTATCTGGCCACCACGCCAGCTGTCGTCACTGGTAGCCAGGCAGCAAGCTCCGTTCCCCTGCTACTGCACAGAACACTTTCCAACGCCACTGCCTTCCCCACAACTGACTGGCTGGGCAGCATGTGCAATAGCAGCCCTCCAGGGACAAGACTGAAGGGGAAGGCCTACATCTGTTCCCCAGACCGCTGGATCTCAAAGTGCCCTGCTAGCTCAGTTATGCCAGAGAGGGTAACCCGAGGCTCTGAGAAATGAAGTGTCTCATCCAAGATTCTGCGGCAAATCGGTGCTTGAATTAGGACTAGACCTCAGGTCTGCAGACTGTAACACGCAGGGATGGCTGCTGCCTCTCTTACCGAAGTACCGTCTTCGGT